CTCTTCTTAATTTAAAAAAAATGAGTTTTCTACCCCTAACCCTTCCGAACCCACCCCTCCGTGGTGGGGGTGGGGGGGAAATTCTGAGAGTTGAAGTCCACCCATCTTAAATTTGCCAAGGTCGAGAAACGCTGTTTTAGAAAGTCCGGCCTTTTCCTTATCTGGCCTGCTGGAAGGAGCAGTTGGCAAAATCCAGCCCTAACCCCACCTTGTTATTACTCTCAACTGATATACTACTCTTAATTGGCGAATTACAGAGCAGTTAACCAAGATTAAAAAATACGGACCCAAAAAGCAAGACATTAAAAACAATGTTAAACAGCATCCATTCAAAATCAGTGAGAGCTTATGTATCAAAAGGACTGGGGTGAAAAGCTGCATCTTGTATCATCAGTAGCTGGCAAGGCAGGACAGATCTCCAAGGGCAGGGAATTCTGGTGAGACTGCAGAAACTGAGAAGCCCCTTTGAAGGTCAATATTTCCCAGATCCTGTTTGCTGGTGGCATCCTACAAGATCTGAAAGGTGGTGGTGATAAATACTTGCCATTTATAAGGCCATTTAGAGCCTTATCAATCAACAAGAGTACTCTGATGAGTTCCTTAATTCAAAATATTTCAGATTCCCAAGTTATGTGAAGTTATGTCATACTGTAACTCAAGTTTCTGTCTACTCTGGAAAGTAGGAAACTTCAAGAATCGTTCAGGGATGAATATTACACCAAAGATTTCAGATAAGCAGTTCTGAACAAGGGTTTGAAAAGAAAATCTCCTGCTAAGTGTGATCATAACTTCAATAACTCTACTTTCCAGAGTAGACAGAAACTTGAGCTACAGTATGAAATAATCTCATATACATCCCCCACTGAAACAAACAATAAGTATAAATGTATGCATTGTTTGCCCTGAACAATTCTTGGAGTTTCCTACCTTCCAGAGTAGACAGAAACTTGAGCTACAGTATGAAATAATCTCATATACATCCCCCACTGAAACAAACAATAAGTATAAATGTATGCATTGTTTGCTATGCATTTAAAAGGAGCAGACCAGGGTGGAAACAGAAAGAAACAAAATAATGACAAACAATGCATACATTTATACTTATTGTTTGTTTCAGTGGGGGATGTATATGAGATTATTTCATACTGTAGCTCAAGTTTCTGTCTACTCTGGAAGGTAGGAAACTCCAAGAATTGTTCAGGGATGAATATTACACCAAAGATTTCAGACAAACAATGCATACATTTATACTTATTGTTTGACAAACAATGCATACATTTATACTTATTGTTTGACAAACAATGCATACATTTATACTTATTGTTTGACAAACAATGCATACATTTATACTTATTGTTTGACAAACAATGCATACATTTATACTTATTGTTTGTTTCAGTGGGGGATGTATATGAGATTATTTCATACTGTAGCTCAAGTTTCTGTCTACTCTGGAAGGTAGGAAACTCCAAGAATTGTTCAGGGATGAATATTACACCAAAGATTTCAGGTGAGGAGTTCTGAACAAGGGTTTGAAAAGAAAATCTCCTGCTAAGTCTGATCATCTATATTCAAAGTAAGGTGAAAGCCAATAATGGGGGCAAAAAAAAAAAGGCTATGAGACTTTGGTTGGGAAGATGGATTATTATCCTCTATTTGGGTTTATTCCATGAAAATTTAACAGGTTGAAAATTTAAGGTTATTGCTAGCATTCTAATAATTCTTCTAGATTAAAAAGAGCAAGGGCAATAACCGCTCGCCCAACCATGTTGTTAAGCTATAGGGTTAGAATCAATCTCCAATTTATGAAGTAACTCCTGAAGTTCTACTAATAAAGCAGTCAAGGCTGTCTCTTTGATGCATTTATAAACTCAATAAGAATTCTATGCAGAGGCATCATAAACTGTGTGCAGTATTAATTATGCTTATTAAGCATATCTGAATATTTTTAATTGCATATTTCCACTGTTGTAAGCTACCTTGGTATTAGAATGATAGGCAGGGTATAAATTCAGTAATTAATTAATTAAATTCAGTAAATTAGGAGGTTCAAAGACTATTAGGAAACATAAAGAACAAGAGTCTAGAAATTCTGTGTAGTTACCATTTTGAAATGTTACTTCCAGAGTAGGAAGTCTGATAGTGCACATTTTTAAAATTCACTGACAGCCTTTGGATGGAGAAATCAATAAGACATACCACAAATTAGCCAAAAGGCACTTACATGTATCATGGAATAGTTGATCCTATTAGGGGTAGGATGTGAAGCTAATTTCCATGTAGTTTTTCCTGTTTTGGCCAGAGCCAGATTGACTAAAGACTAAAGTTTGGGGGTTTTTCCCCCTTTAAATAACTTTTACAAAACTTTTGTGGCATTGATTCTTGATCCCAAGATTTCTGTTCCACCATAAAATATTTCTTTTAGACAACGGTATACTATTGACGTGAAGTGTAGCTCTGCTAATAACATCTGAAATCTTTTTGGAACTGCATTCCTGTTGATAAACTACATCTTCCACATTCAGACAGAAATAGAACAAATGGCTGTGTTTACATATTGTGCTAAGCCATGGCTTGCTTTAACCATGGCTTAGTGCATATAATTAACTAGGAACATAGTATAGTCTAAGCCATAATGGTTGGGCTGAAGCAATAGGTGAAGTTAAACTGATATTAATATGACAGTCCAAAATCTTGTCCATAGTAATGATAATGGGTGTGGGGGTTCATTCTAAAGAATTAACATTCAACATTCTAAGGATAGATGATAAAAATGTTTTCAATGTTATTGTGCATTATTAATTTCCGAATATAGAAAATAATATTGCTGTTAAGAAATTACAACTTAATCATTTTCAGAAAACTCCTAAATATTCCTGCCATAATCTTGGCAATACTTGCATGGGTAAAATCTCTGTATCTATAGAACAAGACTTGTATGGACAACAAATTTGACTCTAGGAAAGTTTTCCCTTCCACTCATTAAATACATTGGGTGCATTCTCAAGTCATGCCAGATCTACTTGGATGCTTCTCATGAACACATGACTTATGAGTTGTTGTTTTTTTGCATCAGAAAACCAAAGAAACAAAGGCTATTGCACTGATTATTTTAGCTAGAATCCCCACCACCTATATCAGTGTTTCTCAACCTCAGCAACTTTAAGATGGGTTGATGCATACTGGCTGGGGAATTCTCTCCTCTGTTTCATCCCATCACCTTATTGCCTCAAGTGCTGGATCTGAGCCACACAGCAAGTCTTTACATGACCTGGCCTTCACATCAATCAGGCTTCCTTTTCTCCCTGCCTCCCAAATGGCCGGTAGTCCAAGACATTTTCATAGAACCAGGTTGGGAAGGGCTGAAGGAAAAGATGGGGGATCTATGACTGTGATGGGCTAGAAGAAAGCAAGGTAGTAAAGAAAGACGAATGAAGTGAATATGGAAGAACAATTGAAAGACTACTTCAAGGCAGGATAAATCAGGCATAATACTTAGCATGTTTAATACGTTTTGGCATGAAGAGCCTTCTCAGAAACTCAGAAGTTACAGTACATGTTCATTGGAGCTCCTTGTCTTTCATTCACAATATCCTGAGTCAAAATATGTTTTTATTGATTTCTGTTCATTGAAGTCAAGGATGCAGCAATGTAGGGGTACCCTGCTCCCATTAAAATAACTCTGGAGATTTTAACTATTTTAAATTTAAAGTACTGATCCATCTGATCATTTCAATATTAAATACTTTAAATGGGCCTCCTCCATGTGTTGGTGTGATGGACTGGAATGGAGGAAGGGGGGTGAAAACGGTGCTCTCGTCTCCAGAGCAA